CGTCGCGTCGCGATGTAACGTCGCGGTGGCTTTGCCAAATCATCGCTCGTAACATGATTTATACAAATACAGAGCGATTGATGATCATAGGGAAAAAGAGAACAAAAGACGGGCAGAAAGAGAGAATAATCATGCGGAGCGTCAGTAACGGTAATAGTCGCCACGATGTTTCGATACTCAACGATTAGGAGAATGACGACGCTGTACGGAAAGAGAGAAGGCGCCTTGTATCGACCCCGCCTAAACCCCGCCTCGCTGCGACGGAATCGCACGAGCGACGCCGAGCGTCGACGGGCGTCGGTGGACACGCTACGTTCCTTTCGGTGATTCTCGCTCCGTCTCGCTCTCATCTCATCCATTCGGTTTTATCGCGTTATTTCGTCTTCCTCTCTCTTTCTCTTTCTCTTATCTATCTTCATTTGTCTCCCGCATATGGAGGTCGCTGTTCTGTACCTGTATTCCTGTTATACGTAGATATCGCGCATTATGTTTCCCGCGACTTTTCTCTCCTTAGAATGAATCATTTATCTCATTACCAGAGAATCTTTTTAACTCTTTGAATCGCATCGATGCATTTACTCTATCAAACGAAATAATTTGAAAAGTTTATCATCTCACAGTCGCAAAATCGACAAAATACAGGCTTAAGCAATTCTCCATTTACGTCCACACAACATACATAAAATGTAATGCAGAAATACATATCAGATTTTAAGAAATGCTTTAAAATTATGTTTTATAAATCAAAATAATGGAGTAGATAGATATTCGACATGAAACGTTTGTTTCTTAATTATTTTATATATCTTACATTATATAAAATATGATTTATAATACTTTTTAGCATTAATTTGCAAAGAAAAAAAAGAAGAATATCGAAACAGATAACATAATAATTGATAGTATTAAAAAATACGCAACGTCAAGAGAAACATGAAACTATCTTGAAGAAATTTTTAAAAATTTTACAAAATAATCATGTATCTTGAAAAAAAGCTTCTAAAAACGAATATCAATACTTTAAGCTAACCAGATTATACGATTCGTGCTATTCGTGATTTGAGATTTGCGATTTACTATTTATATGAGATTTATAGATTGTATGAGTATGCCTATTCATCAGAATTGTTATTAGTATACATTTCACTAGCGGAGTGGCTTTTCGATAAAAAAAAAGGGCATGAATCATAAACCGCGCAGAGTCTGACACCAGCTTTATGATCATTACGCAATTAGCACCGCTAATAATTTCATTAACACTAACTTTGCATTAATAATAAGATATCAAAAAAATCTTGGCTAATATGATTCTTGTTAACAATACATTACTCGTAATAAAATTATATTCATTAAATACAATTTTTAGCTGGCTCCGTTAATGTTGCTTAAATACTCATCAATAATCCTAAAATTAACTTTACGATCGAATGATATCTTATTAAGACAAAAGTATAGTTTGATTCAATGCTCAGTGAAAAAATATAATTCTTACAATTCTTACTATGTCATTAATATGTTTAAATAAAACGATAACGATGAAATAACGTCATCAAAGGTTTAATGCGGCGCAGTTGAAGTAACATATTAAATAATGTCTTATAATAATAAATATTTTTACGGGTATTATTCGGTATTATTCGGTATCGTCATTATGCATTGTTGAATGCGTTTCGTGAATATTGCAATTACTTCATCAGGACGAGGAGCAACTTGATACTGGCTGAACTCAGGCTGAATCAGGCTGCTCATCGCCCTAATAAAGTGACTGCAATATTCACGAAACGCATTCAATGCATAATGACGATGAATAATACCCGTAAAAATATTTACTTTTTTGAAAATAGTAACCATGAAAGCTTTAAAAGCAATGTCTTATAATGTTTTATTACGATATTTAAAGAAATTCGCAGTATAGTATAGTATTCGCATGTTTAAAGAGATCACAACTACGCGAAGCGATCAATTACATAATAACGTGCATCAGCGACATACGATAATTAGTAGAAACTCGGCCACGTTGCGTGCAAACAAATGTAGGACAAATCTCCATAGTCGATCATTATTCGAGTCCTGACAGTCGAGAACTAACACTCAATAACACTCGACAACAATATATTTTACAATACATTTGTTGAAATTATAAGATTATCATTTTTTGTGCTTATTGAATCGTGATGTCAAAAACGAAAAATCGTGCAAATCGTTTTTTACATCGTATGACTTGATACAAAAGTTCCTTCATATATAACTTGTGGCATTCGTCAATAGACGATTAGACGAAAGCAGCTAATTTATTTAAATGTAGTGCATAAAATATATAAATACAGTTATATAATCTTTATGAATATACATTTAACGCCTATATAAATATTTCCATGAACATCTAAATTCATAAATTAAAATTTAATAAATTCATAAATTAAAATTTGTCTTTATGCATACATTTTCGATTTAAAGCCATTTGTTAGCATATTATTTCTTGTTTTCTTATAAATAACAATTTAAAGTGAAAGCTCAACCGATTGGCGAATTCGCTCAAATCTCTTCATTTTTCTTCTTTTTATTTTTTTATATATTATAACTTTTATATATTATAACTTTTATAAGTTATGCTAATTAATAATTAAACAAAGACAAATATTTGAATTAATGATTTATCCCGTTAAATTCCAAAAAAATAAACAAGTATTTAATAATTCCTTTTTTAAATTAACAAAATCGTTTCTAATATTGTACAAGTGTATCGTAATTATCATAATTAAATATAAGAATATTTTTTAGAATATTATATATAGAAAAAAATATTTTCTCTCGCTAATTATTCATTACATATTATTTATTCTTTAAACTGAAATGTATATCAATTCTGTACATCAATTATCCCTAGGGAAAATGTAACATGTGCTCTAGAGATATCTGTTTTTTAAGCTGGACTACTTGCTATTGTCTGCTAAGCTTGTTATTGTCTGCGCGATTTAAAATAAACAAAGGATTCAGGTTAAAAGAAAAAATACTTTAGAAGAAGATAAAGAGAACAAAGCGCATTTTTTGACTACATATCTTCCTTTTCTTTCTCTCTTCCTATCATCGTTCCAGGTAATCAAGAATATGATATATTTTGTCATATCTCAAGATCCGTAGCAAGAAAAGCCAGTTTGCGTCATAGAAATCGAATCGTCGCGTAGAAACAACGAGGGGTGCGTCGAATGGCGCCGCTATGTATGTGTCGGTAAAAGATGACGCGCAGAGGGGGTATGAAAGGGGACTCCAGAGTCAGTCGTTGATCGATCACTCGCGATAGCGTCGCGCGTCCCGCGTCGTATCAAGGAGGCTGCCGGTCGAGTCAGGCGCTGCGCGCGCGCGCGTCACGTCCGCCGGGCGGATACGAATCTGGCCTATGGGCGGATAGGTGGGCGTGACTGAGGTCGTTAAAATGGCGTCTGACTCCGTCTACCGAGCCCTCCCATTTGATGGCGCGCAGCTGCGACTCCGCCTGCCGCGTGCGCAAACGAGCTGGCGACGCAACGCGCAACTTTCTCGCGTCCGTCGCCACGTATCTTCGAAAATTAGAATGACCTTCCACGTTTCCTCGAGGGCATCGAATCCATGTCGAATTACGCAATGAGATTATTAGATTCAAAATGGCGTCTTGTATATATTATAAAAATTAAATGCGTATATTATAAAAATTGGAATTTGATGATTGAAATGTGAACCAAGTCTTGCTTGTTCGGTCATTTTTATTTTCGATACACAATTGCAATAATATCACAATTTTTTTACATTAAGTCTGATAGTTATTTTCACGGAGTTGCATTATATAGGGAAAGCTGTCGATACATGATAGTTTTAATCATGTGAAGCAACTGTCCTTTTCAGTGGAATCTTCTCGACGTCTATCACACACAATTTATGTCAGTTTTGCAATCGATTGATTTAATATGTGTATTAATTTCGTTATAATAATGAAGAGAAGGGAGAAGCAAATAGAAAATAATATTCATCATTTCGAGGCAAGATTTGAGGAATGGCAAAAGTCCAAGTCAGAGAAAAATACTTTTGGTTTCTGGATAGAGTTCAATGAACACAAAGAAGTAGACATCTGTTAACGATAAATGCGCGCGCACATTATTGTTTTTTTTATCAGGCGTATTTATTTATTTTTGTGATAAATATAAATAATACGTGAATAATGATATATTGATACCGATAAAGTATTGTATTTGAAACATTGTTTTCAGAGGAAATATATTAGTTGGACTAAATTTAAAAGTAGATTTTAGAGAAAAAGTTATTTTGCAAATAATTTAGAAAATTATGTAATTTGTGAATATTTAAAAAAAGTTTTGCAGGAAAAAATTATCTTGTTAATTGATTCGATAGTATATTGTATATTTTAAATAATTTAAATGACGTGTTTTATAATGTGATGGTATCTAATATAATCATTTCATTACAAGTTAGAATTAATGCACGTTTTGTTTGTGAAATCATATTTATTAGATTTTCATATTTTTAGGAGGCTAAAATCGAAAAATCGTCAAAATAAGCGTTTAAATTGTTTTCTGAGAATTGTTGATAATTATCTAACTCTTCTTCAAAAGCAATCCTTGAATAATTTTATTTTTGTATGATCCAAATTTTTAAAATCCTCTGACAATGAATAATTAGATTATGAAATTATACCTATAATTATTCTTTCAGTTTTTCTTAGAAAAACATAATGTTTTGTGATGAAAGAAGGTGCGGAATTAATTAACATTCAAAACCGTGCGAAACGCACTCTTTTCTTTATAAGAAACTTTAATGTTTAATTATATATCTTATACATTATCATTTGTATGCAATATTTACTTATTAAATTAAAGAGGATAATTTAGTAGTACGTCTTGTCGGGCCAACTCGAGCAGCATAGGATCATCGAAGAACTTGTTGATGGATACGTCTTCGGATAGTCCCTTTCGTCTTCGCGTTTTTAGCATAAACTCTCTGGCAAGATGGGTGGCTGGCTGCGGTTCCAACGGTCTGATGGTGATGCTCTTATCCAAAGGATCTCCGGGTACAATCTGCCAATGATGAAAAACGGACAGACAAAATGCCTGTCCTTGGGTGTGCGTTCGTAAATCGGTTTCGAAGCCGAAACTGTCGATTGCTGGTATGAATGCCTTGATCGTATATAACGGACTACCCGGGACGGGGGCATCTTGCGTTACGTGACCTCGCCGTTTCGCCAGAACGGTATAGACAGCAGACACACAGTCCGCGGGCGCTTGTACCTCGACGAACAGGTACGGTTCCATTAGACGCGGAGTTGCCATGAGAAAAGCGGAATACGCGACGCGTCTGGCAGTAGGAATGATTTGTCCACCTGAAGACATGTGCATATTATGAAAATTACTGATTTTCTCTGCAAATTTTTCAACAGTCGAAAGTTAATTTTTTTATAATTTATAATTTTTATAATTTTTTATAATTTTACATAATTTTATAGATAATATCAAGATTCTTTTGAGAAGTTTTTAGTGTACAATTATTTATAAAATTATCATGCAAATTTTTACGATTTTTTAACGCTTTCAAAGTCTTTCATATTATAAATTAATATTATATAAATTCTGTGCTAGGGTGAAATTACCTCCTCTATGAAGTGGCTCCTGCGCGATAACTGCGTCAAGTATCTTGAACTTAACATTCCGGATTGGTTCTTCGCATAACGGTCCTTCGCGAGTTCCCCATTGAAAGCCTTGAATGATAGCATCGCGAGCACTGTTCAACAATGTTTTGTCTACTTCAGAAGGTAGAGTGTCATCCACTAGAATGTTAGGCCCTGTAGAATCGGGACCGAACGCCCATATGCTTCGCGCTGCTAACAAGTCCCAATCATATTTCGTTTGGAAAAACTCTCCAAGTCTCTTTCTAAAAAACAATAAATTACAAGTGAATAATAATAATATTGTCAACGACGCGAATATATTTTTTCATTGTTTCGATATTTTCATTCATAAAAATATCGATTTCAAAAGGTAGAAAAATTTAGGTTCCTATCTTTTGCTAATTCCCGAATATAATATATAATAACGTATAGTATGCTTAATTATCGATTGATTATATCATTTTAGACTACTTACTTATTCCATGTAATACGAACGTGTTCGGCTTCTATATCTTCGGCAAGACCCCTCTCGAGCGGCTCCGCTATCATCGTCAATTTATTCCGTTTATTCGGCGTTTCAGCGAAGCATTTGAGAGAACTGGTCTCCACAACAGTCTCCGCGAAAGCAACTACCGGATCGGCCACCTTTATGTCGATCTCGGAATACATGCGACGCAAATCGTGCATCGCACAATCGAGGTATAGTTCGCCAGTTCCCAGCACGACGTGCTCGCCACTTTCCTCCACTCGTGTGCCCAGCAGTGGATAGCTCTTGTTTACCTTTCGCAAACCATCCAACATCTTCGGCAATTCGGATGGGTTGACCGGCTCGACAGCGATTTTAATAACACTCTGAGTGTTAAACTTGAGTGGCCGAAAGATGTGCAATTCCTCTGAATTGTTAAGATCTGTGATAGTGCTAGTCTTCACAATCGGCCGATCGATACCCTCGATGAGGACCCAATTACCCGCAGGTACACGACTGAGCTCGATCGAGTAACGCGCCTCGCTAATCCACAATCTGCCCACTGTGAGAACGCGTGAATCCTCCTCGTCCGTACGTGAATACGCTTCACCTAATACGCGAACACGCTGCCCTGCTTCTAATGTACCAGACATTACTCTACCAAGTACCACAAATAAAGTGCAATCTTCGGTTGGGTACATTTTTGTACTATGAATCATCAATCTTCCCTATAAAAATAAATTTTTGTGAAAATATCTAAATTAATATTAAAATCGATGTTATTAAAATATATAAAGTTTCTAAAAATTTATAAAAAGTTTATAAAAAGATTCTAAACTATTAATAAAATCAATTGATGGAATGTAAAATTAAAATCTTTTTCGAATTGCTCTCATTGATAAAATTATTCTACTGATGCGATTATATCACGCGCGATCGAATTAAGCAGACAGTTAAAATACTAACATTTGGATCGCAATTAACCATGTCTTGTGCAAGCGGCGAATCTATCGGACCAGTGTAGACATGCTGTACTTTAATGGGTGCATGTGCTTGCGGACTAGGTACATGAGTGACACACATGTCGACTAATCCACACATATCTCCTAAGAATCGCGTACAAACGAGTCTTAGCAATGGACGTATATTCATTTTCATTTCTTCCGATGTTAATCGTATACCGAGCTCGTCCAAAACTGCACATAAAATATGTGTAATTATTTTGCAAAATAATTTTAAGTTGTAATAGCAAATAAAAAAAAAATAGAATGAGATTTACCATCGGGCAATGTTGTGTCTACATCCCCGACAACTTGTGCGAATATCTTATACAAAGGCTCCAGGATAAACTCGATAAAACTTCGTTGTGCCGTATTATGCGGTGGTTTCTTGGTAAATTTTCGTGTTTTAGGATTAAAATAGATATCACCCCAAAGTCGTTTAGCAAATTCATTGACGTTGAGTCCAGGATAGTTCTTGGCGTAGAGCGCGGCAAACGATTTCAGAGTAAAGCACACGTTATACTCGGAACTAGCAAAGCAAACATTTCCGACAGCGGGTGAAACAAAGCCAGGATTCTCTGTGTCCGAAGAATACAATGCTATTAGCCCGTTGATTTCTTCGATAATATGCCGCAATTTGTAGTAAGCATCCAACGGTGGCAGTTTCAACTCCAATACCAAACGATCTATTTTGTTTATACAAACTGTCAAAGCGAGTTTTTCCTGAATCGCATGCTTAAGCAGACGCTCGGTATTCAGCATCACACCTTCTGCAGCGTCAACAATCAAGATTGCACCATCTGATAGGCGGATTGCTGCGGTTGCCTCATCAGAAAAATTTACATGGCCAGGCGTATCAAATATATTTAAAAGATATGACTTGGATTTAACATCTTGTAGCAGAAGAGTAACGGGTGTTGCTTTTGTGGAAACGCCCCTTTGTTGCTCGGTAAACAATGTATCTGTATACCTAATAAATGAAAATTATATTTTATTTTCTTATAATTAATTTAAACAACAAAAATCGTGCTGTTTTTATTGATACCTCAGTGGTTTCTCATCAGTTATGTTGTGTAGATAAGGATGTGTTTGTTGTACCAAACAATCAACCAAGGTAGTTTTGCCATGATGAAGATGTCCCAATAAAACTACATTTCTAATGAGATGTGGCGCATCCATCATGTCTGCTAAAAATTCGATGCTATATATGGTTTCAGGCAGCTGCTGCTGCTTTATTTGAAACTTTGCTTTTCTGGTAGGTGCTATTAATGGTTTATCTAATGGTTGGGCATCTTCTTCTTGTACAAGTGTTTCTACCTAAAAATATTTAAATATATATATATATATATAAAACAAATGTTCTAGAAAATAATGAAATAGAAATATTGATATTTTAATTGATACAAAAATATAATTTTAATCATGTATATATAACATAGATTATATTGATATACACTTAATAATTATAAAAATTAATGTAATTTGATTATACCTCAGGTCCATACACCTCTAATGCACTAGGATAATATCGTTTATCTTCATGCAATACAACTGCCATAGAAGATCCTTGCTCCGCTTGCTCTCGCGATTCATCCTTGTCTTCTTCCATTTCTTCATCGGATCTTTCTCTATCTTCGTTGTCGTCGCCAACATTACCATATTCATTTTCATCCTCACTCTCCGAAGCCAGATCAGGACCGATATAATTTCCAAACTCATCATATAAGTCCGCGTCCATTTTGATATTTATATAAACTCAATTTTCAATATGTAAGAAATAATAGTTCCTGCAATGTTTAATGCAATTTTTTAGAATTATTTCTCCGTCATTTTAATTTATAAAAGCTCGTGTTACTATCATTTTCATAAACATGCTGACATAACCTGACTTAAAGCAATCCGACATAATCCATAGGCATAATAGATATATGTTCTGAAATAGCAAAACTTGATTCGCATCATTACCAACTTGATAGTTATGATCTCGAAAAAGTACTTGGTAAAATAATAAATTCTTTTTTAATATTTAACACATTAAAAAGAGATGTTTAATGTCACACACAGTGCATCTAAAGCAAATATCTAAACGTTAATATCTCAAATAAAATAAATAAAATATGTCAAGAGATATGTCCGAATCGTTGGGCGGGCAGATGCCGGTAAAGTTGGTACTCATGGTGTCGCTGCAATCATAGCGCGCTTCACCTCGGTGACGCTCGGCGTGAACTGCGCTGCGCGGTAAACCTTTGACGCATGTAAAGCGAATAGTATGTGACATGTATATTGCGCTGCAGCACACACATATGCATGCACACATACCACATATATACCAGGTACGATCGTATCATGCGCGCGCGTGGCTATATTTGCGCACGGTACTTGCGGACATTGCGGACTGACAGCTGCCAGCACGAGAAACGGGAATAGCGGATCATGTAAGGTGAGTTTCGTTGCGGGAATTCAATGTCGTACGATGACGATCGCATCTCCTTGATTCTAATAATGAACCAATTGTTATAAAACACCCAAGTATCTCTCGAAGAGTTCGCGAGTGACATATCTGTTGGGTCAACGACGCCGCGTTTCATCGTAATTTTTCTGGATTTTGATTTTTACGCGTAACAACAATGAACGATACTGGCGTATTCCTTGCGATATCAGATGTAATTCAGTATACCTTAATTACTAAATATTCCCATAGAGTCCCTAACATTTTCTGCTAATTGCAGAACTTTTCGAATTGAACGAGATAAACTCGGCATCCCGAGCGGTTACACTGTCAAGGGATCGCGTTAGGAGAACTGGCAGAATAGGCAGACGCAGGAGTGGGCGAAGAAGAAGTAGACGATCCAGAGGCGGAATGACACGTCCTCCCAACAATGACAATCTTATGACCTTTAAATTGGTCGTTGTTGGAGATGGAGGTGTCGGCAAGAGCGCTCTTACAATACAGTTCTTTCAGAAGCTATTTGTTGCAGACTATGATCCTACTATTGAGGATAGTTATATTCAACACACAGAAGTAGACAACCAGTGGTGTATCTTAGATGGTACATATTTTTATATCTATTACAAATATTTCGTTTTTTTCTTTTCTTCTTCTTAAAATATTATCTTTTAATTTATCTTTATATTTTTATCTGTGTGTGTTCTTATAGTGCTAGATACAGCTGGTCAAGAAGAATTTAGTGCTATGCGTGAACAATATATGCGGAAAGGTGATGGATTTCTTTTGGTATATTCTGTGACTGATAAACAGTCGTATCAAAATATTGTCAATTTTCATACTCAAATTCTACGGGTGAAAGATAGAGATGTTTATCCTATGTTACTGGTAGCCAACAAAGTTGATTTAGTGCATTTGAGAAAAGTTTCAGAGGATCAAGGAAGAGAATTGGCTTATCGTTTGGGTATACCTTATATTGAAACTTCTGCCAAAGATCCACCATTAAATGTAGATGCTGCGTTTCACGAGGTAAACATGATTATTGTTATTACTTAAATTGTTATTTTTGTTTATATTATTTGATTAATAAAGATTTACAATATTTATTTAAGGTTGTTCGCATCATCAGAAATCAACCCCCAACGGAATTAGAGAAAAATCAAAAGAAGAGGCGACGTTCGAAAAAGTGTAATATTTTATAAGTTTTGAAGATGCTAAACACATACACGCACGCACATACATACACACACATACACATACACATACACATGAGAACTAAGGACCATGGTACTGCGTCGTAATTGTACAACGTCTTTGCTTCTGGAAGTTCTAGAGGAGATTTATCGAGAAGAGTGATTCTTCTGTTCTCCAGTAGGTATCTATGACTGGATTTTTTACTTTTATTTTTTATTACTTTATAGCATTAACGAGAATGCAGTATATTTTTTTTTGTACTCTGTGTGGATCTAATATTTATGAAGAGTAAATAACATAGACAAGACGTGCCAATGAAAACGAGGCCCTGATACTACTATTGCAGTACTATGAAAATTAAATTAGATTTTTTAAGTCTA